TGCTCTGTAAGAGAAGCGACCTGGTGATCTGCCCCTGTAGATTACACACTAGGAAACTATGGGGCAGTTCTACTGTCATACAGGGAGGCTAAGCACCAGAATCCACCACTTGACTGTCAGTTTGTCGTATGTGGTGGCTTGTGTGTGGCTGTGATACTAGAAGCTATGCCACCGGTATTTCAAACACCATCAGGGTCACCTTTGGTGGACAGGTTTCAGCAGAGCTTCCAGATTAAGACAGACTAGGAACAAGGACTTGGCGGTCTACTTCTGAAAAAACTGGTCAGTGAAAACCTTATGAACACTGTCTGATATAGTGCCAGAAGATCAGCCTCTCAGGTTGGAAGGCACTCAAAATACGACTGGGGAAGAGCTGTCTCCTCAAAGTAGAGTCGACCTTAATGACGGAGATGGAGTCAAGCTTTCGGGACCTTCATTTGCCAATGTGGCACGACTCAAAATGAGAAGAAACAGCTGCAAACATCCATTAATAATTGGAAGGTGGAATGTACCAAGTACGAATCTAGGAAAATTGGAAGTTGTCAAAAGTGAAGAGGAGGGGACATCTATGTCAATTGACAAAACATAGCTCTTAAAGACAATGTTCTACTTCCTACTTTGGTGGGTAGTGTCTGGGGTCTTAAAAGCTTACGAGCGTCCATCTTAAGATACAACTATCAGTCTTTTCTACTCTGGCACAAAGGAGAGTGAAAAAAACTAAAGACTCAAGGTGCCATTAGTCCAAAAGACTAATGGATCACATGAACCACAGCCTAGAAGACCAGAAGAACTAGATGGTGCCTGGCTACTACTACAGATTGCTCTGACTGGGATTACAACACAGGGTGCCAGACAGAGCAGGAGAAAAATGCAGAACAAAAGATCAAATTGACAAAAAAGACCAGACTTACTGGTCTGACGGAAAGTGCAGGAATCCAAGATTATGGCCCCTGGACACCCTTCTAACTCACAATTGAAGCCACTCATTCACCTTTCAGCCAAAGATTACGCACGCCTATAAAACAAACAATAACACCCATGAGGAATGTGCTTCTTAGATCAATGAAGTATATGAGACCAAGTGAGTAACACCTGCCCAAACACAAGGACAAAAAGGTGGGAAGGGAAAGGAAAACTGGACGAATGGAACCAGGGAACCCAGGGTGGAAAGGGAAAGGGGGACAGTACTGACACAATGCAGGGATTGCAACCAATGTCATGAAACAATTTGTGTATAAATTTTTGAATGAGAAACTAATCTGTTCTGTAAACTTTCACCTAAAGCACAATAAATAAAAAAAAGAAAGAAAAAACAAATATGAAAAGGAACGCATAAAGATTGATGTCCAGGCATTTTTGTTGCTGTTGTGTGCCATCGAGTCGATTCCGACTCATAGCGACCCCACAGGGCAGATCAGAACTGCCCCACAGGGTTTCCAAGGAGCAGCATTAGTGAGCTGAAACAGACTGCTATTGGCCATTTTGAACTGGACAATCATATGGTCTACTATGCCAGAAATGAAAAGTGAAGAGGAATGGCGTCGCAGTCATCGTCAAAAAGAACATTTCAAGATTTATCCTGAAGTACTGTGCTGTCAGTGAAAGGATAATACCCATTAGCCTACAAGGAAGACCAGTTAATACGACTATTATTCAAACGTACGCACCAACCACTAATGCTAAAGATGAAGGAATTGAAGTTTTTCACCAACTTCTGCAGTCTGAAGTTGATCAAACATCCAGTTAAGATGCACTGACAATTATTGCTGATTGGAATGTGAAAGCTGGAAACAAAGAAGGATTGGCAGCTGGAAAATATGGCCTTGGTGATAAAAATGATGCTGGAGATTGCATGATAGAATTTTGTAAGACCAATGACTTATTCAACAACATAAATGACTTACTCAACAACATAAATGGTGACTATAGGGTTGCTATGACTCAGAATCAACTCAAAGGCAATGGGTTTGATTTTTGATTTTTTATACAAGTGGACCTCGCCAGATACAATACACAGGAATCAAATCGACTACATCTACAGAAAGAGATGATAGAGAAGCTCGATATCATCAGTGTCAGAACAAGGCCAGTGGCCAACTATGGAACAGATGGAACAGACGATCAATTGCTCAGATGCAAGTTCAAGTTAAAGCTGACTAAAATTAAAACAAGTCAGCCAGAGCCAAAATACAACCTTGAGTATATCTCATCTGAATTTACAGACCATCTCAAGAACACATTGAATGCACTAAACTCTAATGACCGAAGACCAGACAAGTTATGGAATGACATCAAGGACATCATATATGAAGAAAGCAAAGGCCCATTAAAAAGACAGGAAAGAAAGAAAAGATCACAACGGATGTCAGAAGAGACTCTGAGACTTGCTCTTGAACATCGAGTAGCTAAAGCGAAAGGAAGAAACGAAGTAAAAGAGCTGAACAGATTTCAAAAGGCAGCTCAAGAAGACAAAGTAAAGTATTATAATGACATGTGCAAAGACCTGAAGTTAGAAAACCAAACGGGAAGAACATTTTCAGCATTTCTCAAGCTGAAAGAACTGAAAAAAAAATTTCAGCCGCGAGTTGCAACGTTGACGGATTCTCCAGACAAAACATTGAATGACTCAGAAAGCATCAAAAGAAGATGGAAGGAATACACAGAGTTATCGTATCAAAAAAGATTTGGCCAATGTTCAACCACTTCAGCAGCTATCAAGAACCAACTGTACTGAAAGAAGAAGTCCAAGGTGCGCTGAAGGCACTGGCAAAAAACAAGGCTCCAGGAATTGACGGAATACCAACTGAGATGTTTCAACAAACCGATGCAGCGCTGGAAGTGCTAACTCATCCATGCCAGGAAATTTGAAAGACAGCTACCTGGTCAACTGACTGGAAGAGATTCATATTTATGCCCATTCCAAAGAAAGGTGATCCAATAGAATGTGGAAATTATCAATATCATTAATATCACATGTAAGTAAAATTTTGCTGAAAATCATTCAAAAGCGGCTGTTGCAGAAACTCAGGCCAGATTCAGAAGAGGACGTGGAACCAGGGATATCATTGCTGATGTCAGATGGATCCTGGTTCAAAGCAGAGAATGTCAGAAAGATGTTTACCACTGTTTTACTGACTATACTATGCAAAGGCATATGACTGTGTGGATCATAACAAATTACAGATAACATTGCAAAGAATGGGAATTCCAGAACACTGAACTGTGTTCATGTGGAACCTGTACATATACCAACAGGCAGTCGTTGGAACAGAACAAAGGGATACTGCATGATGTAAAGTCAGGAAAGTTGTGCATCAGGGATGTGTCCTTTCACCATACTTATTCAACTGTGCGCTGAGCAAATAATCCAAGAAGATGGAATATATGAAGAAGAAAGTGGCATCAGAATTGGAGGAACACTCAATAACAACTGTGATATGCAGATGACACAACTTTGCTTGCTGAACGTGAAGAGGACTTCAAGCACTTACTGATGGTGATCAAAGACTACAGCCTTCAGTATGGATTATACCGCAACATAAAGAAAACAAAAATCCTCACAACCGACCAGTAAGCAACATCATGATAAATGGAGAAAAGACTGAAGTTGTCAAGGATTACATTTTACTTGGATCCACAATCCACACCCATGGAAGCAGCAGTCAGGAAATCAAACAATGTACGCACTGGGCAAATTTGCTGCAAAAGACCTCTTTAAAGTGTTAAAAAGCAAAGATGTCACTTTGAGGACTACGGTGTACCTGAACTAAGCCATGGCACTTTCAATCACCTCATATATATGCGAAAGCTGAACAATGAATAAGGAAGACCGAAGAATTGATGCCTCTGACTTAGCGTGTTCGCAAAGAATATTGAATATAGCATGGACTGCCAGAAAAACGAGCAAATCTGTCTTGGAAGAAGTACAGCTAGAATGCTCTCTGGAAGCAAGGATGGCAAGACTTTGTTTCACGTTTATGGACATGTTATTGGGAAGGACCAGTCCCTGGAGAAGGACATCATGCTTGATAAAGCAGAGCGTCAGCTGAAGAGAGGAAGTCCCTCAAGGAGATGGACTGACCCAGTGGCCGCAACAACGGGCTTAAACACAGCAATGACTGTGAGGATGGCACAGGACCTGGCAGTGTTTGTACACAAAATGGAGGATTTCAGACGACCGGCTATGCTCCAAGGAGGCAGGGTTCACATTCTGAATCCCAATTCTCAGTCTCTAGGGCTGAGAAGGAGCATGGAAGACTACGAGCTGGCTCCTGGGCAATGCTTTTCAAAATAAACCATGGGTAATTATTTTCCTTTTCTATCATCTGCCAGGCTCAAAGGAAAATACATTAAAATTAAAAAAAAACAAGAACTAAATTGGGATCTGGCTAATCGGGCTGTGGAACCAGCAAGGTGTGGTAACAAGAGGCTCCTGCGCACAGCCTTGTCAGGCCGCCTTAACTTGGGGTGGGGGCCTGGGACCACCTCCACCATCTCCTCCCTTCCCCGCCGTGTTCATCGTTACATCCCCAAACCCCAGCGCCTGGTTTTAAACCTTAGCGTTGGGTCCTCCCAATTTTAAGTGACGAGTTTGCAACCTGGGCAGGAGTGGGGTGTGCGTCTCTGAGACTCTGAAGAAAACTAGAACAGCTCGCCCCGTCGCCCCGCGAACACTCGACCCGCGCTGGCAGAGACGAGGACGGCCAGGGCCCAGCCCGGGCTCGCCCCGTCCTCAGCCCCCTGTCCCACGGCCGGTGGTGCTGCCCGCCTCGCTCACAGACTGCAGCCCGGCCGGGAGCTCCCACGGACCGCGCAGCCCGGACCGGAGGGGGCGTTGCTCTCCGCGGGCGGTCTCCGCTCTAGGCCTGCAGGTGCGCCCGCGCCTGGCCGGCTCCGAGGGAGCACCACGCGGCCGAGGGGCGGACTTCATAAGCTGGGCACCTAACAAACCCGCCACCGCCGGCCGGCCCCAGCACCCCACCGTGCCTCGGTTTCCTCACCTGCGCCTCGGCGGACCCAGCCTTCGCGGACGTCACTTGCCTCGCAGGGCCCCGCGCGCAGCACTACCGCCGGCGCTCCCGTTCCGTCTGCTCTCGCGCCTGGCACCCGGCGCCAGCCCTGGGGAAACCTCCTGGGATTGGGGTCCCAGGGGCGGACCCCGCGCCTGCGCAGCTTCGCGCCTGAGCCTCCCGGGCCCCGCCCCGCCCCGCCCACGTGACCCGCCCCGCTAGCGGAGCTCTGGTGTGCGGTCCCGGGTGAGGGTCCCGGCGCGCGGTGGAGGAGCCCGGCGCGCGGTGGAGGAGCTCCGGGCCGCCGCCGTGCCGAGCCTGGGCGCCGCTGCCCGCCGGAGCAGAGGTCCGAGCGCCGCTGCTCACCGAGCGGGTCCTGCCGGGGCCTTGTTCTTGGTGCATACGAGGCTGGTTTCAGTTCAGTCCTCCGCGAGTCGGTGACCGCGGGCAGAAAGGAGGTCTGGACTGCCCGCAGAGTCTGGAAGCGGCTGTCTTGTAGCCTGGGCGGTCACCGTCAGTCCTCCGCGTGCTTTTAAGCTGGTTTTTTTTTTTTTTTTTTTTGGTGGGGTGTTAATAATAAGGAAACTGAGGCCCAGTTTGACACAGTGATTAAGTCTTTGCAAACGTCCCTTTGTGACAAAGGTATTTGTTAGCCATAAACTACCTCAGAGTTTATCTAATGCAAAGAATATAACTTAAGGTAATTTCCCTTGTGGTTAGGCGTTCGGCTGCTAACCAAGGGGTGGGCAGCTCGAATCTACCAGCTGCGCCTTGGAAACCCTATGCAGCGGTTCTGCTCTGTCCTATAGGTCACTATGAGTCGGAATCGACTGGATGGCAATGGGTTCCTGAGAGATAACCCTTGGAATTCCCTGAATAATTGAGGTGCCTTCTGTCACCTGAATAATTGAGGTTCTGCTCTGTCCTATAGGGTCGCTGTGAGTCGGAATCGACTTGGTGGCACTGGATTTTGGTTTCTGTCATTTTAAACCTCCGGACTACACCGAAGATTTGCGCAAATGAAAGAAGGGTCCCTCTCCCCTTCCCCTGAGCCAGAGACCACCGAGTACCCTGATGCCAGATGGTCTCAGTAAGGGGGTGTGGTATGGTTCAATCAGTCACGTTAGGATTAGCCAGTAATTGATTTTCTATGCAACTCCTTCTGTTTAAAAGTTTCGTTGAAACTAACGTACCTCCCGCCAGTTGGTGGTTGTTTTTTTTGGAAACAAAATGGTCTCCCTATATACATACAGAATAACTGCTCGAATAAACCCTATGCTTTAATTTATTTGGGTTTCAATTTTTTTTTTAACAGTGGGGAGAGGCAATCTTCAGTGCCCACGCATTCCAGTGAGTGCGTCTTCAGGCTTTAGGAACAAATTCAGAATCGCCAACCTCCAACCCCTCCCCACTGTCTCTTTCACCCTGAAATGCTGGCCACTCGGCGGAGGGTGGCGTCGGTGGCGAGTGTCTGTACTGACTGCTGGGATGTTGCCTGACTTCTATGAAAAAAATTTTACTAAAAATAGTTTACTTTTATTTCAAGAGATTTTTCTTACCCACGAGCCTAAAAATACCTGACCCAAAACGGATCTTGCCTGCAGCTTCACTAGCCTTTTTTTTTCCACCAAAGTTGCTAACCGACTTTGCAGCAGGGTTAAACTTTTTTCGCCCTGCTGGAAGAGAGCAGTCAATAACAAACCCATTACCTTGTGATTTAAATGAAAAAGACTGGCTTCCTTAATTTTAATTTCAAGGGGTCTCATAACTACAAAAGGGTAAAGGGCCACATTTTCAAGAGTTGCTTCTAGTGCTCACTCACTAACCATTAAGTACTTCATCGCTGGGGAAACTCGTATTCATTGAGCAACAATTATTTAAGTCTCTGTGAAATCTCCATTCCCTGGAAGCGGTGTCCTCTTGCAGGAGAACATTGCCCCAATTTGCCAGTGGTTGACAGGACTAAATCATAAAGCAATCATATATTGTGTTACTCTTTTGAATTAATACAAGATTTTATTTTTAACACTTGCCTCAAACTGAGCAACCCTAGGCTAGTTTGGCCCACACTTACTCACTTGTTAGTTCATTCATTCATCCATGCATTCACTCATTCATTCACTCCTCTATAATAAGTGCCCAGGCTGTTTTACAAAAGTAGTGACTGAGAGAGCCCGGTTACAGAAATAGGAAGAGCTGACTCACAAAACAAGACTTAAAAGACCTCTAGAACGGGAAGACCGGTCACAGGGCAGTGTGCCGTAGAGGAAAACAGCTGCCGACTGGCCCAGCCGTCAGAGTCCTCCAACTGCCTGCAGTGCCCTTCCTGCTCCTTCACTGAATACCCGCCCTGGTAGTTCAAGTCCAAAGGTTTCCGGTATTCGCTCCCTGACCTCCTACCCTGACTTCACCTTCCGTGTGATTTACAGCAGCAGTTGGACTCAGAGAGTCTATCCAAGGCAGGGGCGGATTATCCAATAAGCAAGGTACGCACGGGCTTAATCGTGCTTACTTAATAATCTCTAGTGCACAATTTCACCTTGCTTATTGTAACCTGGGCATATTGTGGTTAATCCACCCCTGATCCAAGAGGTCTCTCTATCTGACCAGACTGGGACCCCAGAGCCCAGCCCAGGGCTGGCAGGAGACGTGCTTGGGAAATGTGCGGAAGAAAGGGTGGCTCTAGACTTGGGGGTGAGAGGTTGCAGCTTGAGTGATCACGAGGACTTCTTGCAGGAGCAGGCATCTGAGTCGAAGGCCAGAAAACATACGGAATAATCTGGTACAATGTGGGTGTAGTGGTAAGAAGACAATTTACTTCTAGAGGAGCTTTCTCCTTCCTACTGCATGGGAGCCCCAAAACTGAGGCACCTGACACGTTACTGGAATGGCTGGCCTAGGTCTGAGTCCCCACTTCGTCTTGCTGTAACTCCTTTGACTTCTGCTTACACCCTCCAGTAACCTTTGAACAGACTTAAATCAGGCAGCTAAGGAAATGTTTTTCTCTGTGATTGAATAAGAAGGGATGTTGACAGAACTTTCCCAGAGGGTCTTGACGCACATAGCTTATCAGAAATCTGCACAAGTTACCCCCAGGAAATGGTTGGCTTGAGAAAGCTATTTTAACAGAATGTCTTCAGAAAAATGCCTTGTGATTGTTTTGTGATCACCCTGTAAGCCCCCCTATAGCCTCGTACCTCTGCAGTTTTCAGTAATAGCCCATCTAAGAAGCCCATTAGATCCACCTTAAGCCAATCACCTTATGATCCCTGCTTCCAATTATCCCACCGCCCGCTTCCCCTAAATGCTCGAAAACCAATCACAAAGATTATATTTAAGTCCCTGATTCCATTATATAAATACAGGCATTCACCACTTCGATTTTCTGAAAGACCTACATTAGTACTTGTTTTTGATAACTGAAAGAAATTCAAAGAGGATTTTTCACTTTCACAAAAAAAGGCAAAAAAGAATGGAAACAGCTTACAGCATGTTTTGCAGAGTGCTGGCGCAAGGCTCCTTCCCCGGGAGCCACTCTCAGCATCTCAGCACCAAGCCGCCGCAGCTTTGGTTTATTTTGTGCATCCAACGGCAAGTTCTGTTCTAAGGTACCAGAAAAGCCTAAGCGGGCTCGTAAGGGTTTTATGTGTCATTTGCTATGATTTGGTAGGTTAATTTTGGGGTCTGGGAAGGCTAAACAATTTTTCCACGTAAGCTAATGGTAACTGCTTCTTTGCTTTACACCATTTTGGCTTACAAAAGATTTCACGAGAGAGCGCTCTACTTGCGGACAGCAGGGGAAATCTGCATGCTATTCGCCTTCAGTTTCTTGGAGCACCTGGTTTCTCTTTGTGAGCTGCATGTTTCCTGGTTAGAACCCCCTTGAACCTTCACTAAATCTCTTTGCTTTTTATTTTGACAGAGTATGCATTTTGACTACTTGACACTACCCTGTGAAAACTCAGTCTCCTGCTGGAATAGGGTGTCTGGTCAAAGGTGAGGGGGGTTTGCAGAGAAGGAGACGAGGTAGAAGAAAATGCGAAGCTGAGTCCTTGGCACAGGCCCCAGACATGGACTATTAATGTCAAAGTCCTCCAGGGGTTGGGATAGAGGCTTCCACTGTGATACACTCACTAACTAAATGCAATAAGCCATGATTTTATTTACACTTCTGTGATATTCCAAAGCTCTGAACTTCAAAAACAGGCTAGATCTGATAGCTAATTAACATGTTCCTCACACTCCCAATTTTCTTTTTGCCCAAGAGGCACAGGCTGAACTCTTTAAAAGACAGCCATCAGACCAGAGGAATACGGTGTGGGCAGGCAGACACAGGAAAACCTATATATGAAGCTCAAAGACAAAAACAGAGCAAAAAACCTGCCAAGTTTTAAAGAGAAAAATAATTCTAGTGCCATAAAGATGATAGGATAGCCACAAATTATGAGTTTGGGGGTAGAATTTAAGGTTGAATGGAAGGTTTGTGACAGGCTGGGAAACTTCTCTGCTCCTCACAATCCCATAGGGCAGGCAGAAAACACTGCTAGCAGGAGGCAGATACGGGTGAAGACTCGTGGTTCTTCTAGCCTCACAGCCACCTCTAGCTTCAGCCGGCTTCATCTGCTCGCTCAGCAGTGATCCAGGCACCATAGCATCATTGCTGAGGCTGATGGCTCTGTTGTGGTGTGAGCTCAGTGGGACCGGTTGGGCAAGAAGCTAGCTTGGAGGTGAGGAGAAAGTAAAAATTGGTGCTTAACGTCATTGTCTCAGGCCCACATCCCCATGCCACGCACGTGCGTAAAGTAAAACCAAGATCTAGAAATGCATATGAACTACAAAAGTAGATGTGCATAGATCAGCTCCCAATATCTTCCTGTTTTCCAGTAGCCTGGAACTCAGCTCTTTCTTAATTTTTAAATCATATAAAGATGCTCTACTTCCACATTGTGCCTCACAGCAAAACCTTTAGGGCCCACTTTCTGGAACCCTCAGTGTTGTTGTTGTTGTTGTTAGGTGCCACGGAGTCAATTCCAACTCTTTGCAACCCTCTGTACAACAGAATGAAACATTGCCCGGTCCTGCACCATCCTCACAATCATTGCTATGTTTAAGCCA